ATATAGATGAGGCGCCTCAGCGTCGCGTTCGGAGACTTGAGTTTGATCCCCGTGTAGCAAAAATGGTTTCCAAGTATCTCTGTCTTTCTGTTGGGACTCTGTGCCCCTCTCAGCTTGAGTTGGCCCATGCAGGCAGGGTCAAAGCCTGCCTCCTAAATGATCGGAATTGTGTCGGTGGGGGCGTAAAACATCTTCGTGAAAAGAAACTGTCTCGAAAATAACATAACCTGTACAACATATCAAATAACGACGAGTGTAATCAGATCGTTTCTTAATTCCTGTTGTTGCACTTTTCCTAGCGTCTCCATACCGTGTAGCTACATGATGTTCTTACAATATTTCCAAGTTCTATCCCAGCCTTCTAAAATTACTCTTCGTCTTTTTTTTTGTTTATTGTCCTGCAATATGACACGGCTAATTTTAGGTTCATGTGCACTCGTTCACAAACAAGAACCGATCCACTTTTAAGCAGAGTTATTTTGAAAAGAACATGCCTTTTATATACGTGAATCGTAGCCAGCAGAGAAAACAACGTTTGTCATATTAAATATCACAACGTTGGGAACTGGAAAGCGATTGTTACATTTAAATTTTACAGACCATCCAATCTGGTGGGGGTTTTTTGTTTCATTTTTGGGGTACCATTTTGAAACCTTTCAAGCCTCCTGGCAGGCGTCTTATAATGGTTATGCGCTTTGGAGTCGCACGCAGGAGACCCGAGTTCGATTCTCGTTTAGTTTTAGTAAGTGATTGACGGCACTTGCAACACAATAAGGTCATATAAATGCCGAAGATTAGAGGTGTTACAAGAAAGTAACAAACACAAAAATTAGGAGGATAGATAAAGAAGATAGACGTTTGATAGGAAAGAAGAAGCAAACCTCACCAGAGCACCCACCAACCACTCACAATCTGGTGTTTGGAAACATTGTTGTTTTTATGCACGGTACTACATGGTGTGGTGGGCGAGAGGTTAGTGCACTCGTCTCCGAAGCTGAAAGTCCGGGTTCGAGCCTCGGTTCGAACACGGATTTTTTTCGCCCCCTCATGCCCTCCAAGCAGTAATGGGTACCTGACTTCGAGTTGGGGAAGTAAAGGCGGCGTGGAAAGGAACTGACCACCCTACCACAACATGCCGAAGGGCCATGAAGTTGTCTCACTAACAAGGCAATCCCCAATGTCCAGATCGGATGCGGGAACAACATTACTTTTACTACACTTCGGTCAACGTCTGACCAGTGCCTGTGGTGAAGTTGTTAGCCATGGCGCAACCTACGCTGTCGCACGCAGGAGACACGAGTTCGATTCCCGAGTGAGGAAAATATTTATCAAGTATCTCGGTTTTCTGCTCAGATATTGGTATCCATCTCAACCCAGGCTAGCCCTGACAGGTAGGGTCGGAGCCAGCCTCCTAAATAATCTAAATTGTGCCAAGGGGGCATTAAAAATTCTAGATACATGTAAATTAATCGTATTCAAGCGTTTTGGTAAAGTTTCACAAAATGGCCTTAAGGGGGGTTCAAAACTTAAAGGGCACCACTGGTAAGTCCTACTACTTTACGTTCCCTTCATTGTTTCTATCTGTCTGTCTGTCTGTCTGTCTGTCTGTCTGTCTGTCTGTCTGTCTGTCTGTCTGTCTGTCTGTCTGTCTGTCTGTCTGTCTGTCGTACTTTCCCCTACCACAAAATGACCATTACTGTCTCAATGGGCTTCCCTTCACTCAAACAAAACAAACAAACAAACAAACAAACAAACAAACAAAAGACTGACCTTCTCTGCTCACCAAAAACGCTGACATAGCTGATGCACGTTCCTTTCATTGTTTCTGTCTGTCTGTCTGTCTGTTTGTCTGTCTGTCTATCTGTTGTACTTTCTCCGAGCACAAAATGACCATTACTGTGTCAATGGGCTTCCCTTTACTCAAACAAAACAAGCAAAACAAACAAACGAACAATCAAACACACAAAAAAACATTGAGAGCTATGATCAACTGCGTACTCTCTCTCTCTCTCTCTCTCTCTCTCTCTCTCTCTCTCTCTCTCTCTCTCCTCACCTAGAGCGCTGACAGAGCTGATGCACGTCATGGTCACACTCAGTGACACGTCACCGTTGAGCAAGTAACAGAAGATATTGCTGGCACCTCCTCCCGGACACACGCCACAGGCAAAGATGCCCAACCTGACAGCCGGGTTGTCCAAGGGGACCACCTGGGAGACCGTGAAGGCAATCTGGGGAACACGGGAGGATTGAGTGAGAGTCTTCTTGGGTGGTTGGTGTGTGCTCTGGTGTGTTTTGCTTCTTCTTTCCTATCAAACATCTATCGTCCTCATCTCCCCTCCTTCTTTTTTGTGTTTGTTACTCTTTTGTAACACCTCTAATCTTTGGCACTTATATGACCTTATTGTGTTGCGAGTGTTGTAGAACTCTTACTAAAACTAAACGGAGAGTCTTCTTCATGCCATGTCTTCTGTATTCATCGATTAATTTACTTTACTTTTTCCTTCCTCTGCATGGTAACCTTAGGATGTCGAGGGGGTACTCATCGATAAAGGACTTGAATCTAAATCTCTCTGTCTCTGTCTCCCAATGTCTCTGTCTGTCTGTCTGTCTGTCTGTCTGTCTGTCTGTCTGTCTGTCTGTCTGTCTGTCTGTCTGTCTGTCTGTCTGTCTGCCTGTGTCTTTCTCTCCTCCCCCCCCCTCTCTCTCTCTCTCTCTCTCTATCTATCTATTTATCTATCTATCTCTCTCTCCCACTCTTTCTCCCTCTATCTATCTATCTCTCTCCCACTCTTTCGTTCTTTCTCTCTCCATCTCTCCCGCTCTCTCTCTCTCTCTCTCTCTCTCTCTCTCTCTCTCTCTCTCTCTCACACACACACACACACACACACACACACACTCTCTCTCTCGTACCCACGCTTCTCGCTACCACCTCTGCCCAATCAACAAAAAAAACAAACACAACCCCAAACAAACCGAGAAAAAGAAAAAGAATGATACACTTCCAAGGATCTAGGAATGAGTCTCAGTTACAAAGCCCATTTACCCAGATTATGATGCTGATGGTGCAAAGTTAGCCTACAAGACGTGAAAAGCCTGAGATGGGGGGATACTTCAGTTTCATCCACGCGACGGAAAGTGCGACTGAACTTGTAATAACATCACCATATAAACTCTAGCCCCAGCAAGCAATAGGTCGTAATATATAACAATCAGAAGACGAAGACGTCCCCGTCTCTTAAGAGCGTAAAGAAAATACGGGGTGCCCACTACGGCAGGATCGGTCCGACCGCCCGACTCGATCGCCTGAAACTGAAATCAAACACGTTTGTTTCTGAGGCGACCGAGTCAGGAAATCGGCCCGACGATCCGCCGATCCCATCCGTTATAGTGGGCACCCGGTTTAAACGTTTAAACATCCACCCAGCCTGCAAACCTCGTTCTGGGGATCTGAATCCCGGACAAAGATAGTCATTCCTGATGTCTCAGGTTACTCCACGACACTGCTTTCCCTTTGGAAGCAACACCGTGACGAAAACTTCATCAACAACTGTTTAGACTTAAGTGGGACCGATAGCCTACTTCGTTACGATGAAAAACACAACG